CCCTTAAATAAATGACCGTAGATACATAAAATTTTGACTGAATGTTTATATTAGCATTTTCTGTACACGATAAAATTTTAAAAATATTATGATTTGATTTGAACTGTTAAGGAACATTTTCATTTTCCATATTTTTTTAGTTTTTTTTCTAAAAATATCAATAAAATTGTATTTGTTGGTTAAAAAAGCTTGAAAATTAATTCCTTGGAAAACCAAACAGGGACGTTCGAGGGTCTACAATAAGCTGTAGGTACATGATTTAAAATCGAATCTGAATAGGATTTGCATTCGCAAAGCTTACGGGTAACCCCCTATAGCTCGCTCCACTGTAGCGTTAGGTCGTGCTCGGCAAATCACCCTGTGCCTACGGTTAGGTTAGGATTTCATAACCTTACGATTTTCCGATACGATGTACGGCGTACATCGACGAATATTATATCGAAGACAAAAATGAGATCCAACACCGGTTACTAATAGGCAAGTATAATTTCCCATTCCTTGGGCATCGATATAGGATGTGCATTTCAACCTGTTTCGTGGCGAATTTCCGCTGTTTCGCGTGTGAACTTTGACCGTCAAATTGTATTTAAGTGTATCGGAGGAGTGGATTTGTTGCGGCACCACCGAATAGTCAGTTCCACCACAGCGACCGGACTGTGAGCGGCCAGACCTCACGATTTCGAAGGATTTTCTGTTTTTATTTTTTTTTATCGAACATTGTGCTTTTGTTTGTTACTTGAATAGATTCTTGTCGCGATTTTTTTTTGCCGAGCAAACACTAAACAGTATATTATTCAGTCCTATAATATAATATATTATTATTATATTGTTCCAAAATAATTATAATATATCGCACTGCACAGTAACGATAGTCCCGAACATTATTATTCAACAAGGATTGTACAGGTAAATAATATTTTTCATTTCTTCTTGACTATGAATTATTATGAGAATAATTTGAACAGTTAATGCCTTATGAACGATAATAATTTCCAGTTTTAGTTTTTTTTGATCATTTCAATTCAACACGTTATAAAATATCGTATTAAATATAAATCTATAAAAAAAAAAAGGTGGGCAAGTGGGTGTCGCTCTGCGGCTTCTGCTGTACATTAGATTACAGGTGGGTCACTGTAATGGATGGTGTTAAATTTCAATTCAATGATATAATATCATTGTTTAAGAAAAACGATTCTGAGCGAAGCAGTCAATCTTTGATATTACTAAGTATAATTTATATATAACGTATTTACGTGAAACCATATGTTAAATCTTCAATCCTAAGCTATAAAAGTTGAACATTTTATAAGTTTTTAACCACAAAATAATTATTAAATTTTAAATTTGATAAATGTTGTCAAAATTTGAATTTTAATTGCTTATAAAAAAAATTGTAATTAATTATTTTTAATATTTTTAATTACTATAATAACAATATATCAGGAGCAATGTTTAAGCACTTTAACCCAACAAATAAAATTGTATTGACAAATATAGAAAAAACAACTTAAAAAATTGATAACTGAAAATGTCCATTAACAGCTCAAAACGAGTCAAAATATTTACAAAATGTTATGTTATATAGAAAATGAAAATATAAACATTCTGTGAAAATTTCATGTATTTACAATTATTCGTTTTTGAATTGCAACAAAATAAGAAAATTGCTAGATGAGAAATCGAGTGAATATCCAATGTTGTACAAATATGACCTTTCAAACGCTCATAAAAATTTAATTTGACTTTCTTGTAGATATTATTTTTTTTATTTTTTTTTTGATAACGATTTGACAAACTTATAAGGAATCTTGTATTGCATTTTCAAATCTTAGATTTAAAAAAAAAAATGTTTATTAATTTCTAACTCAAAATAATTTGCAAATTTTATCGATTTTTAAGTGTAATTTCAAGATTTGAACTTTAAGTACCTACGTATAAATAAAAATAAATATGACTAGATTTTTAATATTTTCAAACGTCATTGTAACAATATATTATAGTTTGTATTTAATTTTCAAGCTTATTTACCCAACAAATAACATTTTATTGACATTCGTAGAAAAAAAAAACTAAAAATTTGGAAACTGAAATTGTCCGTAAACAGATGAAAACAAATAAAATTATTCTTAACATTTTTTCGTGTATAGAATATGTTAATATATACAGCCAGTGAACATTTCATGTATGTACCGTCATTTGTCTTAGCGTTACACCAAAAACCAAAATCAATCTAGTAGAAAACCGATTTTGAGTAAATAAATTGCAATTGCGTTTGAAAACTACTTGGAATTTATCACTTTGACCTTTTCGAGGCATGCACCAACTAGATTCATTTTCCCATCGAACGAAATACTGAAGTTGAAAATCGTAGCATCATTTCAACTACTTATCGTGTACACAACACAAAAAAATTAAAAATTAAATTAAATTAAAATAAAACACACATCATTGTAAAATCAGTACATTCATCGCTCCGCTCAAAATCTAAAATGATTATGTACTTATTGATTCAGAAAGATATTGATAAAATTGTATAACACCATAATTTGTTAATTCATACTAAACATAGGTGTGATAAAAAATAAGATATTTGGTACAATATTTCTATAAGACTCGTTTATATGTTACCACAATATTATATTATATTATACTTACATATTATTATATAAATAAAGTGATTTCAATAATATTCAGTTTTTTTTTACTTAATCAAATTAATGAACCCCAAGCCAAGTGCCACTTAAAAGTGGCTTCTTATTCAAAAATTCCATGTTATGACTTAATCTTTATCTTGTATACTTATTGTGCTTATATTTTGCAATGATTGTGTATGTGTTTTTGTGAAATAATAATAAAAAAGCGGGTAAGTGGATGTCGCTCTGCTGTACAGTAGGTTACAAGTGGGTTCATTATATAATGGATTATATTAAACTTGAATTCAGTGATATTCAATCATTGTATAAGAAAAACGATTCTGAGCGGAGACGGTTTGTCAGTCTGGATATTTTATATTGTCGTTAATTATTATAATATGATGTAAGTTGAATTAATATTATAATATTATTATTTTTTATTCGTTTCTATGGTAATAAATAAAGCGATAGAAATTAAAATCCAATTTTTAGCGGTTATTCGTAATTTTTCGGTGGTTTTTACCGTGGCACCAAATAACTAATGATAAAATCGAAAATTTAGCTATCTAAAGTACATAAAAGAAAATTAAATTAAATTAAAAAATTAAAAATAAACACCATTGTTAAACTACTAGCTTCCTCGCACCGCTCAGAATCTAAAAAAAAACCAAATAATAATTACAATCTGTTTTCAATATTGGTCTCAATGAACAATTAAGATAATTCAATTTCTATAGATAATTACTTTTAACGTCACATTTTTATTCAAAGATATTTATTTCCGAACATTTTTGATTCAACTAGGTTAAATACAATAATAATAACAATTATTTTTTAAATAGTTTTATCTCAGTCTATTAAATATGTTTTTAACGATTTAATTTATTTTTTAGTACCTAACCTCCTTGAATTTGACAAATAATGAGTTCTGGGGCCCAAAGTTTATGTTGATTTAATTTATCGCCAGAAAAATGTATAAATCCGTGTACCTACTATATTACATGATTCATGAACAAAAGAATGTATAGAAAATGATTTAACCCAAGTCCAGTAGTTTTTTTCATTTAAAATTTAGGGGGGGGGGCAATTTAATTCAGATCGTTTATTTATTATGCCTATTATATAATGGTATTAAGTATTCAATTCGTGTTGAATTTATTAAAAGTAATCGCTAAATTATATTCATTCTTTTTTACGAAAATAGTCGAATATAAAAAATTATGGACATCCGATGTACATAATGTCCAATAATTTGCATCGATAATATGATAAACCTATGAGTAGAGTCATTGGCATTTAAAATTATAATAGACTAAAAAGTGAGTTCAATACCTCGCTCACTTGTTAAATTAATTAGATTATTGTCCTATGGTCAAGGGTCTTGACATGCAGTACTTATTATTCATTAATTTTGTCGTTTAACGAGATGGATTTGTAATTTGTATCACACCTTTACACGCCGGGTCGGTGGAAACATTAGAACACATTTGAAGAGAAATAATTCAAAAATTATATTATGAAGTAACTATAAATCATTTATTTTATTTTCAAGTATAAATTTACGACTACCTGATTTTATTCAAATAATATCTTTGTCAAGGTATAATTATAAGTAGGTACATCGTATATCGTTTTAATAATAATATCTAATTAAATTACCGTAGAAACATTCTAACTTCGTTGATGTTTCCGTTGAAATCGTGTGCCTGATAAATATAATATATACCAAAGTACTGTTGAAATTGAACTATTTCTATTATTCACTTATAATACGCAATATATCTCTGTATAATGTTATCAGACATACTATTAATAATATAAATGTAATATTTTATTGCGTGTTTAGGTGTAAAATTCTAAAATATAATTTAATAGAATAACATCTTATTAAGTTTAGGATACACACGCAGGACCGTCGCAAGGTCAGTATAAGTAACTCGAATATTATTTTGTTTAATAATTTAATATTAAATTAATAATTGAATGCCCCCTCTACATGTCAATACATATTTATTACTATATTGTTCTTCAGGGCCGTCGACTTAGAACATTTAGATGATGGAACTGTTGATAGTAACCTAATGTTTTTGTCAACAATTATTAATTCCTGTGTAGAAGCTTTCCATAACACCTTATGCATAACACTCGTAAGTCAACATTAGGGCTTACCTATAATATGTCTGTACCGCAGAAGTAAGGTAACGCAAGTAAATTTTTTGAAATATCGAGTTAGTTCTACGATCAGAATTCATCCTTTTTGTGAAATTATTAAAGATCTTAAACTCTTACAGGATCTTATTCAACAACAACAACATTGATCATTATTGGTATATTTTTTCACACTTCGTATTGTTTTGACGTTTCAGAATGCCTGCCGATATTGCAGTCATGGATGAGTTCGACTCGAACAGCCAGAGCACAACTCACGACCTTTCGGAAATTCAATCTTTTTACAATGGTACGACGGTTTTTTTGACTGGCGCCACCGGATTTGTGGGAAATTTAATACTGGAAAAACTAATCAGGTAACAGCTATTCCATTCGAACACTTTTTTATTATATTACACTATACGCCATTGTTTAATCGAATTTAAATTGTTTATTTTGGGTGTTTACAACACATTATATTTATTAAATATATTATCCAGACACACAATAATAAATTGTCTGAATTGATATGGACATATTTATTGTATAGTAATTAATAATAAATTATTACGTGTATATTTAATAAATTCAATACAATCGTTTGATTTTAAACTTCCATAGTTTATTGATATCAGGGCACATGGTTTTAAAACTAAAAACTAAGACTTCAGTAGAAATGTCTGGCAATGTACCTAGGTACATTAAAATAAATTAGAGTAAATTATTATAAGATATAAAAATTATCAAATATTTTGTTTGTTTAGTTTTTACTAAGAATTTCATGAAATATTTTAAGCTTACTTTATGCATAGGTAACGTACGACTTAATGATATTCCATCATAGGTACAATTTTGTTTCATAGGTATTATTTACAAAATTCAGTAAATTATAACTTTTAAATAATTTATTTGTTCATTCACAAATTCCAATACGGAAACATAAAAATATTTAAATACCTACCTATATGATTGAAAGCAATTTTTACATTTTCCCGGCTTAATAATGGAGAACACTTAAACTTTGTTTCCATAATAATTCTTGATGTAATAAACTAAGAGTTAAGTCAAAAAATAAACATAGCAGAAATAGTTAATAAAAATTGTTTTGTTTGTTTATTTCAGAACTTGTTCTGGAGTTAAAAATATTTATGTCCTGATCAGAGAGAAAAAAGGGAAGACTACAGAAGAAAGGTTTAAAGAGCTCTTCAATGACCCAGTGAGTAATTATTTTTATTTATTTTTTTACATTTAGATAACAGATTTAGAAAATTAACTATTATTATATACAGATAATAATTCACGGTTGGTTTTTACAGTATATTTTACGGCTAAATTATATTGCATTAGATAATTTATATTTTCAACATTTTAAAATATCATATTAATCAAATTTGATTGTCTTGTTTTACTGAATCGAAATCATGAACATAATTATTAAATCAAAAAAAAAACTGTTTGTCTAATACTATTTTAAATTGAAATTACCAGATAAATACTTCAATATTAATTAAACTTATGAACTTCCAAATTTCAACTTACAATTTTTGAACTTTATATTATAAAAGCATCTGTTTGAATTATTTGTAAACATCATATTATGTCCATTCATGAATAAAAAATGAACAATACTTGCAAATGGATTTTAATTAGATCATATTTATGTTGTTTCTTTCCATTGAGTTTAAAATAAAAACTTTTTTTTTATATATATTTAAGTAATTTACAATCTATATAACATTATGTACAATAGGCAAATTTGATAGTTAATATAATGTGAAATAACAGAATTTAACATTTAAGGGCAGGCACTCAGCAGTCAGCAGCACCACCCGACCGAGAATAAATAAAAACATATAAAATAAATAGCAAAACACATGATATCTGAATGTAAAATATGGGCGCTGAACGTTTGGTCACATTGACCCAAAAGCCAACACGTTTGGGTACAAATAGACACAACGTTTGGACACATAAAATAAAAGGTATTTTATAATTTTACCTGGTAAATCAGAGAACGTTTGGGTACACAGTACACATACTATACAAGACACGTTTGGGTACACTTTATAAACACGTGATTTACAATAGTGGTATACTCATATACTTTACCTCCAAACCAATTAATATCAATTACTTACATTATTTTGATTATTATCGTAATATACGCGACTACGAATATATAATATTAATATAATATTATTATACGAATACTTAATATTTTATTTTAATAAAATAATTAAAATATTAAAAGTGAAAAATAAATAATAAATATTTTTAGGGGACTATTAAGAGCCAACCTCCTCGTGGTGTCTCCTGGGTAACGCCAATAGGCTCTAAAAAATAAAATGTAAAAGTATATTTGTAAAAAATGTGCACCTAAACGTTGGTACCCAAACGTAGTATTATTTAAAAAATATTATGTTACCCAAACGTTGTATTGCTTTTTGGGGTCTGAAAAAAAGTGTACCTAAACGTGTGTTCCCAATCGTTTTCCCGAATCTCAGGTAAAAATATCGTTTTGTGCCCAAACGTGTTACGGCCTAAAATATAAGGTAAAAAAATAGTTATTGACCTCTAAAAGAGAGGGTTATTAATACTAGGAAATTCAAATAGGTATAATTTAATGTGTTTATATAGACAAAATCTGTTATCCTAGTAATAAAGTTAATTAGTAAAAGTGAAAAGAGTATATTTTAGTATAATTGGTATAATTTAAATATTTAATACTCGTATAAAAAAATTACCAACATCTGCATGTATAATATGATCGGAGTACATTTAATCGTAGGAATATTCTATACATGTTTGTTAATTTGCTTAAATTAAAAATTCTCCTTTGTCTTATTATTACTTAAATCAGTGTAATAATATAATATATATTAATAAAAGTAAATAAATAGCACTACTATGAACCTAAAATCACCGAGGTATCAATAAAACAAATAATGAACAATCATGGCCCAAATAGTCAAAGAGCAATAAAAATCAATGATACAAATTAATTAAAGGCTGTTCATACATTTTAGATTTTTTTTTTTTTGTTTTGTGTCTGTCATCACTGTTTAGGGAAGTAAAACTGCTTCGATTTTCTTCAACACTATCTTATTCGATGGTAAAGTGAATCTAGTTGGTACTTTGAGGGAGGGGGGTCCAAAGTAAAAATTTTCCAGTACTGTTCAAAAGCGCAGTGAAAAACAAAATAAAAATTAAGGAAAAACGATAATTTTTACACAATATTGGTTTTCCACAAACTCGATTTTGGTTTTTGGTGTAACTTTAAAAAAAATGACCGTAGATACATGAAATTTTCACTGGTTGTTTATATTTGCATTTTCTATACACGATAACATTTTAAAAATATTTTGGTTTATTTTGAACTGCTTAGGGACATTTTCATTTTCCATTTTTTTTTAGTTTATTTTCTAGAAATATCAATAAAATTTTATTTGTTGATTAAAAAAGCTTGAAAATTTAATAGAAGGCTCCTAGTGTATTGTTTCAAAGGCAGATGAAAAATATTAAAAATCAGTCACAATTTTTTTTTATAAGCATTTAAAGTTCAAAAGTTGACAAAATATGGAAAAATTACGAAAATTAGCAAATTATTTTGAGTTAAGAATTCGTAAAAATTTTTCTTTTTAAATCTAAGATTTGAAAATGTAATACAAGATTTCTTATAAGTTTGTCTAACTTTATCAATAAAAAAATCTCTACCGGAAAATCAAATTAAATTTTTATGAGCGTTTGAAATTCAAATTTTTACAACATTGGATATTCACTCGATTTCTCATGTAGCGATTTCCTTGTTTTGTTTTAATTCAAAAACGAATAACTGTAGATACTGGAAAATTTCACTGAATGTTTATATTAGCACTTCCTGTACACCATATAATTTTCAAAATAGTTTGACTCTTTTTGAGGTGTTTACGGACATTTTCAGTTTTCAATTTTTTTAGTTTTTTTTTCTATAAATATGAATAAAGTTTTATCTGTTGGGCCAAAAAGTGTAAAAATGTAATACAAGGCTCCTGATATATTGTTACAATAGCAATTGATAAATATAAAAAATACATAGCCACAATTTTTTTTTATAAGCATTTAAAGATCGAATTTTGACAAAATTTATCAAAATCTCGAAAATTATCAATCATAGTAATTAATAAATTATAAAATGATCATTTTCATAGCTAAGGATTGCAAATTTAAAACAAAGGTTCTCATAAATTTTTTTTTTGAATTTTTTTTTTTTTTTTGAATTGAAAGATTTTTTTTTATTATTTGAAAAACACAAATTATACAAAGTATTTAGAAATAATAAAAAAAAAAAAATTACCTACACCTTTAAGCTAAGCTTGTGGTGGTGCAGGGAGTAACAATAAACATCATTTTCTAGTAATTTAATTCGAATTACAAAACAAAAAATAATAAAAAAAAAAATAATAACAAATATTGTAATATAAACAAACAAAAATACTCTATATAGATACTGTACTTAAAATAAACAAAGACTTAATTGACTAAATATAACATCGTTTACATATTTTTTAATGTTAATTGAATCGTTAAAAATATTTTTTTTTATATCAATCGACAGAGAGTTAAATATAACAGGACCCAGATAATTAATAAATTTTTGACCAAAACTTGTATTTGTGAATAACACTTTAATATTAAATAATCTATCTTCCCCTATTGGCTTGTTATTCTGTTTGATAAAGAAAAAACTAGATTTTTTATAAACAAACATTATAGCAGTTTTTTTGTACAGTAATTCGATCGGAAGCACATTAAACTCTTTATAGTTTGAAAAGGAAGACCCAATGAGATTTTCCTTTCTCAAACATATACGAACTATACTGTTTTGTTGTACCCTTAATGGTTGTAGAACATTTTTAGATGCACCACCCCAAATTACCATACCATATTGTAATATAGATTGGTATAAAGAAAGATAAACTAACCTCATAGTATGCGAGGAAATTAAATATTTTAATTTATGAAATTTAAACATTAAATATCGCAATTTTACTAACAAACTATTTATATGAAAGTTCCATTTGAGGTTACAGTCGAATATTAATCCTAAATATTTTATTCTATTCACTATATTGATTTTTTGGCCGGTACAGGTTGATGCATTTAAACATTCATGAAAAGAAAATTCTTCAAAAGGTGGTAAAATATTTTGTATTGAAAAGACCATAAACATAGTTTTGTTAAAATTCAAAGACAGTTTTTTGGTATTTAACCACTTAATTACTTTCTTAAAATTTATTTCCGTTTTTTGTCTTAGATTTTCCCAATTTGACCCTGATACTAACAAACAGGTATCATCTGCATATACGACTATTTTACCGTCGACATTCATATCACATAGACTATTTATATACATAATAAATAAAATTGGACCGAGAATACTTCCCTGAGGTACACCATATACAACTTCACTTTCCTGCCCTAAAAACCCATTTATATTTGTACTTTGTTTCCTCTTATTAAGATAACTCTTAAACCAGTTTAAACAAATATTATTTATACCATAACTCCTGAAAGCTTTAAATAGTTCATATTGTAACCAAAAAATCTAAAAAATATATGAACACAGTTATTTTTTACCGACATTTTAAATTCAAATTTGGACGAAATTACATAATAAAAAACCTAGAATAACTATTTTAGTTATTTTGTTGTGATTGTATAATATTTTTCGTGGGTACTTGAAACTTCTAAAGTGTATTATTACATATCTATGATATGATATTATTATAGGCTATTACAGGTCAATTTTTTGTTTAATACCATAGATATGCATATAATATGTCTAATACCTAGAGTCTAGACTGACATACCGTCTCCGCTCAGAATCGTTTTTCTTATACGATGATAATATATCGTTGAATTCAAATTTAATATCATCCATTATACAGTGACCCACTTGTAACCTACTGTACAGCAGAGCGACACCCACTTGCCCACCTTTTTTAATTTACATTCAGTTAAGTAAAACGTGAGGTGTTTGATTTATGATTTCAGGTGTTTGAATTAATGAAAAAAGAACAACCCAACTACTTGGAAAAGGTCACGGCAGTAATCGGTGATTGTTGTTTACCAAATTTAGGGATACAAGAGCAGTACATGGACATCATGAAAGATGAAGTAATAATAATCAACAATAATTATTATAATAACCGTTAGTTTTTGTTTTATCCTAACTCTTTATTTTTTTTTTGAACTAAGGTTAACATTGTTATACACTCTGCTGCTACGATAAGATTTGACGAGCATTTAAGAAAAGCGGTTAACATCAATATAATCGCCTTGCAGGATATGCTGAAAATGAGCCAAGAAATGAGAGACTTAAAGGTAGGTAATGCGCATTAGTATGCACGTCTAAATCTAAATCTAAACGTCCAGTTCAGGACTGCAACAACTCAAAATATTGGTTTGTTGGGTATAATGGGTTTTCTACATTTTTTTCTGTATGTAACATTGCAACGTAATGTAAATTATAATATTGATAATGCTCTCTCGTGGTCAATAATTTAACCATATTTTATTGCGTTCTTGAACTGAAATCGTCATAAGATGGTCTATAAGATGGTGTATATAACTAGGATTTGTTAAATTCGAATTGTTGTAGTCTTGAACTGGGGCGTCATAATGTTCTATATTTTTTTGTAAAATTAAATCATTCATAATAAAATTAATAATAATAATGCAATACTACGAAATTAAATAGTTTTTTTGTTTTTACTTTGGTTTTATTCATAAAAACTGTTTCCGTTTAGGCTTTCGTTCATATTTCAACCGCTTATTCGAATTGTGCTGGGAGAAAAGTCGTAGATGAAGTGTTTTACAAGCCACCAATATCTGGAGACAATTTGTTTCAGCTCATGAACAGTCTTGACGATGACTACATCACCAGAATTACTCCTTCGTAAGTATGCCGCACCTGTATGATCTGCAGTACTCGCATATGCGCAAATTGACTACATTTTTCGGGGGGCACTCAAGCCCCCTCAACATACGCCATATCACTTAGTACCACAGAATATAAAAATTAGTACTAATTACTAGATTTTTAACTGGGTTGACTTGAACGACATTTGGGGAGACTAAGTCCCCCAAGCCCCCCCACCCCTATTTTCGCCAATATGAGTACTCGTTGTTAATAGATAGAACAAATGACACGACTTAGTTGAAATTAATTTATTCAAATGCTATAAAACAAGTACATTTCGATAAAATGGAGAGTTAATTGAATACAATATAATTTATATTTTATATGTTGTTTAAGACTTTAAGAGCGCTGCAACACGATTGCGAAGTTATCCTTGTTTTACCTGATAAAATGATCACAACACTATTGCACACCAAATGATATGTGTATAATATGACGTATAGTAATTTATGTACAACATAAAAATATAAAATAATATACAAGTACAATAGTTCCATATAAAATGCTCCTACGTCTAATTTTGGACGATTATTTACTTAAAGACTGTGTAGAAACTAATGCACAATTCCCACCAACTTTATGGCCAGATAATCCATCAAAAGAAGCCAGAACAACTACTAGTAGTCCAGAATCTTTTCATATGCATTATAATTCGCACTTTTATACCTCACACAGTCACACCTATCTTCTATTCACCAAGTTATAAACCAATTAATAGGTATTCAAACTTAAACATATTTAAAAATAAACTACGAATAGAGCAAGAAAACAACATTACATTTATAATACTGATACTTAGGAAAAATTTAAAACATCAATGAATGATAATTTTCAGGCAATAGGACCACGTTTTTGTGCTAGTCACCAAATGTAATTTTTAAATGCAATTACATATTAGAAAATGTATGAATATGATTCATATTTTGTTTTATTTTTATATGAACAAAAAAAATATTGACTATTGACTATGTCAGTATATGCATTGAGTATATACATGTGAATTATAAAAAAAAATTTTAACCGAGCCAACAATGACCATTTGTTTTCAGTCCTAAGCCTGTATAATAATTGGGAAGGGAAATTGTGACTTAATATCTAATAAGTTATTGAGTGAATTTATATGAAAGTTATAGAATATATGTATTGTATACATTATATTATGTTGTACATAAATTATTATACATAGTAACATAGTATATATATCACATATCATTTGGTGCGCAATCGTGTTATATCAAAGGAAAACAGGGAGCGGGGAGAAATCGTGTTCCAAATTTGGTGCCCAATCATGTTGTAATTATTCGGGTAAAAAAGGAAAAAGTGCACAATCGTGTTGTAGCCCTTTAAAGGCGGCCGCACTTTATAAGTAAAATTTATCAAAATTGACAATTGTTTCCAAAATATAGAAAAACAACTATTTTATTTTATGTTTCATTCATGTAGAATGCTGAAGGAGTGGCCAAACACGTATGCGATGACAAAAGCAATTGCCGAGGGCGAAATCGCAGCTCACGGAAAAGGGTTACCCATCGGAGTTGTAAGGCCGTCGATGAGTGAGTATACACTATATGTAAATACGTTGATCCTATATAACATATTATAGTGCAGCGAAAACAGTCTGAAGCCCCTTTACCCGTATTTGAGTAATCCTATCAAGTGATAGAATAAAATAAACTGCATATACACTGTTGTGTTAAAAATATTCTTGAATAGTGAATAGTGATTAGTGATAACCTATATTATAATAACAATAATAATAATAATAATAATAATAATATTTTTGACAATAATATGTTATAATAGCCACCAGAAATCGTATATATCATAATATTATAAGTTTAAAATACACATTTATATCGAGGTCCCTCCACCCCCCCCCCCCCTCACTTCCATTTCTGGCTGCAATACTGTTACTGTGGATCGCCACAGTTGTCATTATTGCGAAGAAATAATACGTTTTTTGTATATTTTATTTGAAACGTAGTCGTGGCCACAGACAACGAACCGATCCCCGGTTGGATCAACAACTTCTACGGACCGACAGGGGTCTGCGCGGCCACCGGCATTGGACTCATGAGGTGCATGTGCGCCGATCCCGACCAAACAGCCGACATCGTGCCCGGAGACTTCGTCAGCAACGCCGTTGTGGCCTCCGCCTGGGACATCCACAACCAATGGTGAATAACTTAACTATTTTACAAAATTATAGTACCTGAACGGTAAGGGGCGTATGATATATTCTTACGATTTCGCGTTCTCGTGGCAATCGGCCATCGTCGTGTTATTGTGTAAATTATAAGGAATTCGAATATTTACTTCTGCCAACGACTAACCCTCCTCCCCGTCTCCACACAAACAAAAGACAGTGGACGCCGGCCCATTCCAACAAGTGAGCAATAGATACTTCAAACATTTTAAGTGTCTGGTGATGTTCGACCGCTATTTATTTAGGTACTGTGGTGTACCGAGTACTAATAATTAACACATTACATTAGATTTATTAAATATTCACTTTATTAGACATAGTTGTTTCAATACAACTTACAATAACTCAGCAAGAGGGTATAACATTAAAACATAACCTTAAACTAATTATCATGGAATAATACATATTACATACATTACAGTCCTCCCGACTTACATAAGAATTACATTTCATATAAAATTATTGAATATAATATAATATTAATTGTATAATAATAAAAAAAAAATAATATAAGTAATATTGTACATATTAATTATTAAATAATTTGAACATTATAATTAAATAATAATAATAATAAATTAACATTCAATACTCTATAAATCTAAACGAACAGGAGGTTTAATAACCCTACGGCTTTTCCTCAATTCCACCCCCTCAACTTTATCCTCTGTTTCCAATTCTACTTCTTTTTCTGCCTCTTTAACACTTTCACTTATAACTATTTGTTCTTTAATATTACCCTTATTATTATCAGCATTTTGTAATTCTTCTAATAAATCTCCATTAATTTCTACTTCTGTTCCATTTTTATTCATACAATCAATTATTTGGTTTAAATGTCGCTTATAAATGTTACCCTTAATAATTTTAATTAAGTATGTAACAGGTGATAATTTTTGTATAATTTTTCCCTGTATCCACTTATTCCCTTCTCCATAATTCCTACACATAACCTCATCTCCAATTTCATACGATTTTGTTCTACCACCCTTATAATTTCCCTTGGCTCTTTCTAAGCTTTTTGTATAATTATATTTTGCCTTGACTATTAACCTATCCAATGCTATATTCAACTGTCTACCAATGTGTAACTCTGCAGGACTCACCCCAGTTGAACAATGATTTGTACTATTGTATGCTAGAATAAATTTACTTATGTTGTCTTCTATATCTGAATTTTTTGCACACTTTTTAAGAAACATTTTAAAGGTTTTGACTGCATTTTCTGCAGCTCCATTAGTCGAAGGACTATATGGTGGAGTCTTAATATGTGTAACACCATTAATTTTTAAAAACTCTTCCATTTCATAAGAGCATAAAGAAGGTCCGTTGTCAGTGACTAATTTTTTTGGAATTCCCCAAATAGAAAAATATTCTCTTAACACTTTGATAGTTGATACTGTAGTAATATTAAGTAAATGTTTAACATATAACCACTTTGAAAAAGCATCAATTATCACTATGAACATTTTACCATCTACAGGTCCCAGAAAATCTAAATGTACACGTTGTGATGGTCCTTCTGGCCAGGGCCAACTATGTAATACACTTTTAGGTGGATTATTACTATGAGCTAAACAAGCAACACAACTTTTTGTGATGTTCTGTATATCATTATCAATACCAGGCCACCAGATATATGACCTAGCCACAGATTTCATTTTAACCGTGCCCATATGCGTATGATGTAACTCATTTAATAATTCCTTTTGGAATTTACCAGGTACTACTATTCTATGTCCCCATAACAAACACCCTACTTCAATGGTTAATTCATTTTTTCGATTAAAATAAGGCTTTAATTCAGCCTTTACTTTTTTGATCTTATCTGGCCATTTATTAGATAATACCCTAAAATAAACTTCACGTAGCACTTTATCTTCCTTAATTTCTGTACAAATATCTAAATCAGTAATTGATTTTATATTTGTCATTATTAAATTAATAAAAAAATTATCACTCTCAGCATCATTAATGTTATCCGAATCTTTGATAGGTAATCTAGATAAGGCATCAGCATTACCATTATTCACCCCATTAATAAATTCAATTTTATATGAGTACCCTGATAAAAACACTGCATATCTCTGAAGCCTATGTGCAGCCATAACTGGTATCCCTTTATTTTCTCCAAAAATACTCACTAACGGTTTATGATCAGTTCTTAAAATGAATTGTCGCCCAAAAACATATTGGTGGAAATACCTAATAGCAAAAACTATAGCCAAAGCTTCTTTATCGATTTGTGCATACTTCTTTTCACAATCTATTAATGTACGAGACGCAAAGGCAATAGGTTTTTCCGATCCATCAGGTAATCTATGCGACAAAACCGCACCAATGCCAATTGGGCTAGCGTCGCTTGCAACTATTAACTCCCAACTACTATTATAATGTACAAGTATATTCTCAGATACTATTGATTCTTTGATTTTCTTGAAAGCTAATTTTTGTTCCACCCCCCCAATGGAATTTAACATTATTTTTTAGTAATGCATACAAAGCACCTGCTTTAAAAGACATATTTTTAATAAATTTGCCATAATAATTTACTAATCCCAAAAAAGCTTTAACTTCCTGAACGTTTTTAGGGTTTGGGGCTTCTGTTATAGCTTTGATTCTCTCTTTAGGTATGTGCAGTCCTTCCTTATCAATATGATAACCAAGAAATGTAACATTATCACTGAAAAACTTACATTTACCTTTTTTAAGAGTTAAGCCAGCATCATTCAACTTTTTCAAAACACTATCAAGTCTATTATTTACTTCTGTGTAATCTTTACCTGATACTACTACATCATCATAAAAACAAACTGTACCTGGTATATTACAAAGTAACTTTTCCATTTCCCTTTGCAGCATACCCGGTGCAGATGAAATTCCATATGGTAATCTTTTGAACATGTATAACCCTTTATGAGTAGAAATTGTGGTTAACTTTTGACTTTCTTCGTCAAGTAACAACTGTTAATATGCTTGGCATAAATCTAATGCACAAAATACAATTGCTCCCTGGAATGCACTTATTAAGTCTACTACTCTAGGTATCGGATATCTATCGACTTCCAGATATTTATTTAAAGTAACCTTATAATCCCCACACAACCTTATAGATTTATCAGGTTTAACCACTGGAACTATAGGAGTAGCCCAATCACTTGATTCCACAGGAACTAACAGCTCTGCTTTAATTAGTCTTTCCAATTCTTTACTCATACTATCCTTAAGAGAAAAAGGTATAACTCTAGGTTTACAAAACACAGGAATAGTGTTTTCTTTTAAATACAATTTAAAAGTTTTATGTTTAAAACATCCTAATTCCTCATTAAAAACAGAAGGATACTTTTGTATAATATCTTGTTGAGATAAGGAATGAAAATTTAATTTTAATGGTAATATCTCTAACTCGATCAACCAATCTCTGCCAATAATCGGTGGTCCTCCATCCATTACAATATACAAACTTAATGACTTCCACTGATTTTTGTACTTAACCTTGACCTTTAAAATTCCTATTGGTATAATTATTGAACCATTATATGCTTTTAAATTAACATCAGTTCTCTCCAAATCCTCCACACAACCCAATTTAAATTTATCAAAATCTTTCACAGACATAACCGATACCGCTGAACCCGTATCTACTTGAAACTCTATGGTTACATTATCTACTAATAGTTTAAGACAAAAAGGTTGCACAAAACTTACATTTCTAGTTTCTAAATTAAACAAACTATTCAAATTCAAATCTACATTATCAAGGTCAACATTATTAACATTTTTTTCTTTATTCTTACAGACATTCTTTAAATGACCGACCTTGTTACAAATTGAACACTTATAACTAATATACTTACATGATGGTTTAGTATGTCCACTCTTCCCACAGCAATAGCATACCCAATTTCTTTTTGTACCTTTCATGTTTGATTCTCCACCAGTTTTGCCACTATTATTCGATGATGATTGCTTGACTTTGGTCAGGAACTTGGTATTTTTCTTCTTTGAAGCTGTATGGTAGTTCACTGCTTCATGATGTTCCATCTTTGAAATGTCATTGTTAGCACTCTCCATAGCCAAACTCAGTTCAATGCATTTTTTGAAAGTTAAAGAGTCTTCGGATAATAGTCTTTTCTTTATATTACTATCTCTGATTCCCCAAATAACTTGGTCTCTCAATGCATCATCCAACACAGTTCCAAATTCACAATGTTCAGACATTTTTTTAAGTCCCGTAATAAACTGAATAATGGTTTCATTTGCAGCCTGTCTGCGTTCTTTAAACTTGTACCTTTCAGTAATTAAATTCGGTTTCGGATTTATGTAATTTGTAAGCAACTTTTTGAGATCATCATATTTCTTTTCAATGGGTTTACTAGGTGTACATAAATCTCTCAGTAATGCATACCCATCGTTACCCAACAATGTTAAGAATAATAATTGTTTTTTATGCAAATTAATTTCATTAAGCATCACATACAATTCAAATCTCTCAATCCAAGAATTAAAATCATCTTCTTTGAGCTTAAATTCTGTCAATTGACCCATTTGTTGCCCTGTGCAAACACGTGGACTGACCTGATTCGAAGCGTTCCCGTCCATTATAAAGTAATTAACACTACACCGAAATACGGAATTACTTACATACGTACTCGTTACTCGAATTATCCTCGTCGCCAATGTGGTGTACCGAGTACTAATAATTAACACATTACATTAGATTTATTAAATATTCACTTTATTAGACATAGTTGTTTCAATACAACTTACAATAACTCAGCAAGAGGGTATAACATTAAAACATAACCTTAAACTAATTATCATGGAATAATACATATTACATACATTACAGGTACATTATTTATATTATTACATGCAGGCATGCAGCACAATAATATTCTTCTTTTATTATTTCTTCATTGGAAATTGTATTTATTTTTTCTTCAATACTTTAATTTGTACATAACGCTTAAAAGTGTGTTTAAGCCGACATTGCTATAATGAATGTTTTATATGATTCTCTAAAGGTCGACTGATTGGTGACCGATTACCCATGAGATGATTATGTCCATTAAGTCAGTGGAACAATCTGTTCTCAAAAAATAGGGTGGAGGGTAGTGATGATCAAAACAAGACCAAGACCAAGACTTTTAAAATCTTGGTCTTGGTCTTGCAGACTCAGTCTTGGTCTTGGTCTTGCGCAAGACTCTTGAAAGACTCTTGCTATTTTTACAATATATATAGAAACAAAAATCTAAATACCTGTTATAGCTGTGTTTAGGTTTTTTGCTATGATCCCTAATATGAAACATAAGTCCAATATATTATATAGTATATTAATAATTCAAACATTAACATAAAACAAGTCAAACAATTTAATTTTTATTATACTCATTCAAAACCTTGCATTTTAAATTATGCTTACACTATTTTACTTGTATGAACCAATTTACCAGCATAATTAACTTTCTAAGTTCCTATTACATTTATAATAAATATCAATAGGTTATTACTAATTACTAATTATTGACCAATATAATGTTTATAAAAATTAAATTGTTGTTTTTTAATGTTCACTTTAACAAATCATAATATTAAAAAAAACTGTATGGTTTGTTCCAAATATTAAATTGCTTAATAATTATATTTGTTATAATGATAATATTTATTATTTATAATTAAAAAAACTTTTATTTGTCTTTTATTCTTTTATTCACCAGTATCCAGTACAGTAGAACTAAATGTTAAAGTTTCTTTTAATATAATATATTGGCAATATACCATCATATCGATTTTGTGAAAATAAAATAATTTATCAGTAATTGCTAATTGGTACCTATGAAACAATACTATTTGTTATTTTGTAATGTTAATTCCTATTATTTCTAATTTGTTTTTCAATAATTTTCCATTTCCTCGAATACTAATCAAATTTAACAACAATACAAATAATTTCTTATTATTTTCGTTATAAATTATTAGTCAATAAAATCTAGTTACACTAATGTATTTTCGGGGGAAAAAAAAATTTGCAAGACTGCAAGACTGCAAGAGTCTCGCAGTGATGGTCTTGGTTTGGTCTTGTTCTTGCAAGCCTAATCTTGGTCTTGGTCTTGCAGCAAGAGTCTTTGGAGACCACAAGACCAAGACCAATTTTGATCATCACTAGGTGAGGGACCCTAACCTTAATATAGATACATAAAATTCGGCAGGGGCGTTTATATTCTTATCAATTATGCAAATATGATGTTGTTCGTATATGACAGCTGAAAAAAGTATAAAACTATCATAATTTCAATAGGTTTGCGCAGTGCTACAAAATAAATACGCAAGTCGATAATCGATGAAAGTTCGCATAATTTTCTTAATTTTTGACATAGCTGCAGGTATTATTATTATAAGAAAAAAAGATTAATTAATTAGAAAAGCAATATTTTTATAGCCATTGAGATAATATAATATTTACATCGGCTCAATGGCTTGCGCCTATTCGGTAATTGAAAATAAATAACAATTGTAGGTTATGGTTTTAAATGCACCACGTTTGACCGCTGCAATCGTATTATCACACAATTACTTTACGAGTTCAGTTATAATTAATTATATTGTACATTTTTGTTTTGGATGTTCTGATACATAACCTTAGTGCCGTAATGGTATGACATGTAAAATTAAATTAAAACATACAATTAAACATTTTAGGAAAGAACATAAAAACTCCAATTGTGAAGTTGAAGCAGATGGTTTGAATAAGGAACAGTTCGTGCCACCAATTTACAATGTCGTTTCTTCGAGCTCTAACCCATTAACATGGAGAGAATTTTCGGCGCTAAACCGAAATTATGGATGCCATATTCCCTCTGTAAAAGCGGTGAGTGTTCCGAAGACGTTTTAACTGAAATAATACCCAACATAATATTAATATGTTTAATTCAAAAATATTAACATTATATTGTATTGGACGGACTTTATACCTGACCGAACGATAATCATTGTTTTTTCCTGTTTTTATATACATAGCTCTGGCCATTTATGTTGAGGCTTTCCAAAAACCAATACGAATATACAATCTTGTGTTTTCTCCTCCACATCTTACCCGCATTCATTATAGATTCTCTGGCGAAGCTTACGGGAAGAAAGCCACAGTAAGTACCAAGTACACGACCACAAAAAATATAGCAATATAATATATGACGCAAAATAATTTCCAGATTAATGGATGGATACAAGAAAATGCACAAATTCTCCGAAGTCATAGCGTACTTCGCCCTAAAGTCATGGACATTCCACGACGACAACACGAAGTCGCTGATAAAAAAGCTGTCCAAACTGGACCAGTCCCTGTTTAGGTTCGATGTTACCAAATTAGACTGGAACGAGTATTTCAAAAAACACGTGGTGGGCATTCGACTGTACATCTTAAAAGATCCAGTGGAAACGGTGCCGGAAGCGTTAAGACGAAATAAAAAGTAAGTATAATCATTGATTAAACTTAGTTATTTTCACTGTCCGACAGATGTAATTATTGGCCGTTACATTTCGTTGCTAGTACCTATTTGCAGATTATTAATTATTTTCCGAATTATGTTTTCAGATTGTACATGATTCACTACACGTTAATGTCATTTTTAGTGGCATTATTGATGACAGTAGTTTACGGACTGTTCCTACTCTTCGTGTAGACAAGTCAAATCTCTGTTGTGTCCTAAATGGTAATTATAATTGTATATAACAAACAAAATATATTTGTAATCTGAACCTATTATATACGTACTTACGATGTATTTCACTTTCACTCAAAGTTGTATGATTTTATGAAAAATTGTTTTCTAAAATTTATTTAAAATTCATTAACTTCATTTGTCAATACCTACACTACAGTGTGTATTATATGTATGCATATCATTCATTGTACAAACTCGCTCTCTTATGCACGCACCTATGCTATATATTATAATATTATGTAGGCATAATGTGTCAGTATTTTTTGTAAGTGAAATAAATAATTATTATTGCGAATATTGAATTTACATTATATACCTATCCTATTATATCTCATTTCAAAAATGTTGGTGTTTATATTATGTCATTGATTTTAACATAATTGTGTGTAATTAAAATAACTTTTAGTTATTACTGTTATTAGGTATAATATGTAAATTATTATAAAAAATAATATTTTATGTTTGGTGAATTAAATTCCTTTTATAGTCTATTATGTTTTTCGTCTTTAACAATGGAATCTCAATTATGTAAATTTGACCTAGCCTCAATTTATACATTTTAATTTTAATTTTAATATCTACCTTTAATAAGGATTTTGAGATACTTATTAAAAAATTAGATGAACAAACTTACCTTTTTTTCCGCGACTCAGATCACCTATACTACCCATGTATTCCCGAGACCCGAAGAAAAGGTATTATTAGACCCAATTTACCAATCCCGTTATGGTTATGAGCTCTTAAACATTGAAAAAAACGTTAAGGAAGGCTCTATCTCCCTCATCAATCCCCTCCCGAATTTGTTAGTTTCAACTGTCAAAGGGATTGAAAACAATTTTTAGAACAACGGTTATGTTACCTACATTTTTAAAAGGAAAGGAGCTTATTTTGAAACTGCGCTATACTATTTATTTAAATGGCGATCTATACGTTGATAGGAAAAAAAAATAGAAAATAGTACATTTTTCAAACTTAGGTATTTGCGGCATACCTGTTGATTGCTTTTTAATACAAATTTTACATTTAGTGAATTTTGTGGTGGAAGGATTTCCGAGGGAACTTCAAAAGTAAGCTAGATAGTTTACGGCAACAACCAGTATCAATTTTAGCAAAATAACCTCTTTTAACCTATTTTTATTCAAAGATATTTATTTCCGAAAATTTTTGATTTAACTAGGTTAATTATTTTTTAAGTAGTTTTATCTCAGGGCCGTTCTTACAATATCCGGTAAAGTGTCGGTTAACGCTAACCGACTGATAACAAAAATTTTTACCGGCAGAATTCGGCCGGTTAAGTGTCGGTTAACTTTAACCGGACATTGTAAGAACCAGCCTCAGTCTATTAAATATGTTTTTAACGTTTTAATTTATTTTTTAGTATACCTGCCTCCTTGACTTTGACAAATATTGAGTTTTTGGGCCCAAAGTTGACCTTGATTTAATTTGTCGTAGAAAAAATTTTTAAATCTGTGTACTTACTATATTACATGATTCATGAACAAAAGAATGTATAAAAGATGATGTAACCCAAGTTCAATAGTTTTTTTCATTTAAAATTTAGTGGGACAATTTAATTCAGATCCTTTATTTACTATGGCTATTATATAATGGTATTAAGTATTCAATTCGTGTTGAATTTATTAAAAGTAATCGCTAAATTATATTCATTCTTTTTTAGGCAAATAGTTAAATCTAAAGAATCATGCATATCCGATGTACGTATGACCGATACTTTGTATCGAAAATATAATAAACCTATGAGTAATGCCATTGTCATTTAAAATTATAATACACTAAATAGTAATTTCAATACCTCGCTAATTTGATAAATAAATTATATTATTGTCCTATGGTCAAAGACCTTGACATACAGACATACAGTACTTATTGTTCATTAATAACGAGATGAATTTGTAATTTGTATCACACCTTTACAAGCCGGGTCGGTGGAAACATTAGAACACATCTGAAAAGAAATACTTCAAAAATTATATTATGACGTAACTATCAATCATTTATTATATTTTCTAGTATAAATTTACGAATATCTTATTTTATTCAAATAATATCTTTGTCAACGTATAATTATAAGTAGGTACATCGTTTATCGTTTTAATCATACTATCTATTAAATAGATAGATTCTATTTATATGACCGTAAAAACATTCTAACTATGATGTTGATGTTTCCGTTGAAATCGTGTGCCTGATAAATATATTATATATCAAAGTACTGCTGAAATTGAACTATTTCTATTATTCACTTATAATACGCAATATATCTCTGTGTATTATAATATTATCAGACATACTATTAATAATATAATTATCATATTTTATTTCGTGTTTAGGTGTAAAATTCTAAAATATAATTTAATAAAATAATATTTTTTATAGTTTAGGATACATAAGCAGGGCCGCCGCAAGGTCGGTATAAGTAACGCGAATATTATTTTGTTTCATAATTGAATATTTGTAATACATTTATAATGTTTTTGTCAAAAATTATCAACGGTGGGCATTAACTTGTTAAAAAGTTAAATATAAGATAAAAAGTTAATTTTTTTTTTAACTTTATTAGTTTTAGCTATTCTAACTTTTTTTATTTAATTTAATTCAATTTAATTGAATTAACTTAAATTTGTATAGTTAATTATTATTGTCATGCACTTAAGTTAATTTTATTTATGAGTCATGCGTAATCAACTAGGCAATACTGGTTCGTCGACTTTTTTACGATTTTGGTAATTTATTTTCGAATTATACATTATAATAATCTAATTTTTTACACAATGTTAAATATCTTGGTAAATTTTTATGTATAACAAAATACTATGGTGGTTTATGAGTTATGACTTAAAAATATTGTACTTTCAAAAAAATTAACTTATTTTTAACTAATATAAATTTATTTTATTTTCTATCTTAACTTTAAACTTATCTAGTTAAATTTTTTTTCTTTGTTAACTTTTAACTTAACTGAAGGCAATTTAATAGAATTAACTTAACTTTAAACAGTTAATTATTTTCATTAACTTGCCCACCATTGACAATTATTAATTCCTGTGTAGATGCTTTCCATAACACCTTATGCATAATACTCGTAAGTCAACATTAGGGCTTACCTATAATATGTCTCAGTGGCGGCTCGTGGTAGTTTCATATGGTAGTGCGATAAATTTGTAAATAAAATAAAGATCTCAATTAATAACAATCAATTTTATGTGAATAATATTAATAATATCACTAGTATGGATAACAAGTACCTACTTCACAATCATTGCTATTGGTCGGTATTTCTTTAGCTATAATTAGACGTAAATATCGAACTCTGCGCGCTGTAAATACAAAATCGCAGGTCGCCGCTGGAAATGTGCTACGAAAATTACCGCACCAAAATAATATTATAGTCCCGCCGCTGCCGTGTACCCCGCCGTTGAGGCACATCTCAATATAATCATAATTTGATAATATAACCCGTATAACACACATATTTTCTGTGCGCCTCGGGCCGCCACACCATAGGTATAGTATCTACACAGTATACACGAAAGTAGGAGTCTCATGTTACAGACGTTAGTCGCTAGGCTTTCGTTTAATATTTAGATTATTTCTTATTGCAATGGAATAACTGCCGGGTTGAGATGATATTTTTCTTCAAATATTATTTTACAATACAATTTGGAATCATTTAAATTATTTCGTAAGAAATATAGATCATCATGATGCCTATTTAATTACTTATGAGAAGTATAATATTGCGAATATAATTTTATTTTAAAATGTGCATAGGGAGTGTGGTCGCACATTATGTCTGTACCGCAGAAGTAAAGTAAAGCAAGTCAATTTTTTGAAATATCGAGTTAGTTCTACCATCAGAATTCATAATATCCTTTTTGTGAAATTATTAAAGATCTTAAACACTTACAGGATCTTATTCAACAACAACAACATTGATCATTATTGGTATATTTTTTCACACTTCGTATTGTTTTGACGTTTCAGAATGCCTGCCGATATTGCAGTCATGGATGAGTTCGACTCGAACAGCCAGAGCACAAGTCACGACCTTTCGGAAATTCAATCTTTTTACAATGGTACGACGGTTTTTTTGACTGGCGCCACCGGATTTGTGGGAAATTTAATACTGGAAAAACTAATCAGGTAACAGCTATTCCATTCGAACACTTTTATATTATATTACACTATACACCATTGTTTAATCGAATTTAAATTGTTTATTTTGGGTGTTTACAACACATTATATTTATTAAATATATTATCCAGACACACAATATTAAATTGATATGAACATATTTATTGTATAGTAATTAATAATATATTATTACGTGTACATTTAATAAATTCAATACAATTTGATTTTAAACTTCTATAATTTATTGATATCAGGGCACATGGTTTTAAAACTAAAAACTAAGACTTCAGTAGAAATGTCTGGCCATGTACCTACATTAAAATAAATTAGAGTTAATTATTATAAGATATAAAAATTATCAAATATTTTGTTTGTTTAGTTTTTACTAAGAAATTCATGAGATATTTTAAGCTTACATTTTGCATAGGTAACGTACGAGTTAATGATATTCCATCATAGGTACATTTTTGTTTCACGGGTACTATTTGAAAAATGCAGTATATTATAACAACAATTTTTAATAATTTGTTCATTTAAAATAAACATAACAGTAATAGTTAATAAAAATTGTTTTGTTTTTTTATTTCAGAACTTGTTCTGGAGTTAAAAATATTTATGTCTTGATCAGAGAGAAAAAAGGGAAGACTGTAGAAGAAAGGTTTAAAGAGCTCTTCAATGACCCAGTGAGTAATTATTTTTATTTATTTTTTTACAATTAGATTATAGTTTTAGAAATGTAACTGTTATTATATATACAGATAATAATTCACGGTTGGTTTGACTGTATAATTATGTAACATTA